GGGGGCCTTCCCAGAGGAAGTGATATTTAAGCTGCAATATGAAGAGTTAAAAGGAGCCAGGCATACAAAAGATAGGAAGAAGAATTTTCTAAGGAAGTGGTAACAGCATTAGCAAAGCACTGAAGGCAGGAAAGAGGCATGGCTATTAAAAATTGAGAGACTAGAGCTTTAAAAGGGAGAGTGAAGTCACAGCAGGCAAGATAGCTCCTAGACTCTCTGCCAGGAGTTCCTGGGCTTTTTCTTTAGAATTGTCATAAAGTGTGACTTGGATTCAAGGACTGTTAGTGTCCTTGTACCTCTTTGGTCCAAGTTACACCTTGCCAGAACCTATCCCTATATTTCAGGGGTTATTTCCAGAAATAAGGGAATAGCTACAAGCTGGAAAGCAGCCCCAAATGTACATACTATTGGACAGAGATAATGAAGACAACCGCAAAAATTCACCCTTTGTTCTCTCCAGGAAATGCTACGGGCTTTTGAAGAAGAAGCTAAGGAAACAGGATACCCAAGACTACTGATCACAGCAGCTGTATCTGCTGGCAAAGGGACCATTGACACAGGATATGAAATTGCAGAGGTTGGGAAGTGAGTGTGATGAACTTCCCAGGGCCCCCAAATCCTAGAGCAGAGATTTGTGAACTTTTTGGTGGAGAGCATCCCAAGTAGTTATGTAAACATAATGTTGAGAAAGCTGGTACCTTCAATTGCCAAAGAAGTTTGGGGAATTAATGGCTTCGGGATAAAGAGCTGACTCCTTTAAATTGCCACTATGATGGGTGTTGGGGAAAAGAGGAACAAGATTCAAGACCTTGGCAAATCCTTATGTGTAATAGAAATTACCATTAGCAATTCCTTTTGGAAAAGGTTGTAAAATCAGGAGAACTATTATTGACAAAGCTACTCATTTGTGCTTACCATGGCCCTGGAGATGTGTATTTCTAAAACACACTCTTCTAACAACATATCTTTCCCTCTTCTCTGGGTTTGCCCTTAATCTTTCAAGGAAGTAAAGGAGACTTTCTGTCTAGTCCTATGGGAGTCACAGAAGATAATCTGCTCCCTGGAGACACCAAGGAAGCCACATTAGTGGGGCCATATGGACATCTACTTGACATCATGAATTTCCACAGCTACCATTTCTTGCTCTTAAATTGTCTATAAGAAAATGCTCCCAGGATCTTGATGGCTCAAAATCTCTTGTTCCAGGCTCCTTGATCCCATCAGTGTGATGACCTATGACTTCCATGTTGTCTGGGGCACATATACAGGACACAACATTTTCCTGCATGTAGGAAGCAAGGATGGAGGTGACATGTGTTATTGCAACTGTGTAAGAAAGAAAAGACTCAAATCATATGCAGAAGGGAGATGGGGAAGGGATTGGGAGTCTTGGTTGTTGGAAAACAGGGTTTCTCTTTGGGGGACAATTAGCTAGACTTTGTTGATCATATGGAACAAACACTGGTGAGGAATAATGTCTGTGTCGCCTTCTGCAGGAATATGCCATGAAGCCCTGGAGAGACAGTGGGGTCCCTTCGGAGAAGCTCATCATGGGTTTCCCCACCTATGGGAGGACTTTCCGGCTCAGCACTTCTGACACCTCAGTCTGTGCCCAGTCTCTGGAGCAGGGTCATCTGGTCCTTACACAGGTGAGGCTGGCTTCTGGGCTTACTGTGAGGTAACTAACACAGCTAATTCAGGCTAAAATGCCCTGGGGAAAATTCTTCCACTCTCCAAGTCATCTTGCTACCCTTCTGCTCTTGAGATCCTATATCCATCCCAGCTTTCACAGATCTGACAGCTCTGAGCATAGCAGCCTGTGGAAAGGCAGGTTGATGGCTGTAATACTTTTCACTTAAAAAAATCAATCTGAATTTCCTTTTTGGGTTTTGAAGTGTATAGCACCATCTTTGCCACAGCCCAAAGCAATACTGAATTTTAGTACGCCCGCGTAAATAGGTGGAGAAGGATTTCAACAGACTAGCCTGGGGATGGCAAATATTTTGATCTCCCTGCCAATCTGAATTGATTGATTTTACTCAAATTCTATGCTGAAAATCCAGGGAATGATTAGCAGTGTTTGCCAAAGACTAGAGTGTTTGTGGAAGAATGATCTCAGCACATATGGTCATGCTTACCATTTCTCAACCTCTGGGTACAGAATTAGAATTTCACTTGTTCATAGCCTGTTTTCATAGAAATTTGTGTTCATTTTATGAAACAAAATCACTTTTGAGAGAAATATGTGAAATTAATGGTGATATTTCATAACGTCCCCTTTTCTATCCCCCTCCCATTTCTTACTATTTTTCTCCCATTTAAGTCCTTTTTCTTCCAATATATGACATAATCTGTGACGTGTTCAATGTTGCCTTCTTCATTCCCCGCATAGATCTGCATATTCCTAAATAAAGCCACAAATGCCTGGACTGAAGACCAAAAAGTCCTATATGCTTATAAAAACACTGAATGGTTTGGTTATGACAATATTGAGAGCTATGGATATAACGCATGAACAGTGTAAAAAAATTACAATTCTAGCTTTGAATCTTAAGCTCATCAGGAGCCCATTTCACTAAGATCTATGGTTTCAAAGTTTTAAATATGCACAAAGTGGAGTAGACACCAGGCAATGTCTAGATAAGTACTTCGAATGTGGCTCCTATGAGGTCTGACCTTGACACACCTACAGTAACTTGTGAGCCTTCAGGGCATCATTACAACTGGGAGTGGAGGACAGATATAATCCACTAGCCTCCCTGGGGAGTCCTTCTCATACTTCAGCCAGGCCCAAGGAGCCAGTAGATGAGTTTATTTTGATTCCTGCTGTATCCCCAGTGCTTGCCACTACCTGATCCATGGTAGGAACTCAATATGATGATGACTGACAGACTAAATAGATGATGTAATGGTAAAGGAGGATTTTTAATTTATATATTTATTTATTTATTTGGCTGCATGTGGTCTTAGTGGTGGCAGGCAGGCTCCTTAGTTGCAGCTCCAGGGCTCCTTAGTTGAAGCTCACCGGCTCCTTAGTTGGAGCACATGGGCTCCTTAGTTGCAGCTTGCCGGCTCCCTAGTTGCAGCACGTGGGCTCCTCAGTTGTGGCAGGCAAACTCTTAGTTGCGGCATGTATGTGGGATCTAGTTCCCTGACCAGAGATCGAACCCAGGCCCCCTGCGTTGGGAGTGCAGAGTCCTATCCACTGTGCCACCAGGGAAGTCCCTGAAAGGGGCGATTTTTGACTCTGTGAGTTTTACACGAATATGGGAAAGGCAATCAAATCAGGACATTCCCACTCCATGCCAGGGAACTCAGACACTTGGAAGAGCTCCTTTTCAGTTATTGTATTCTTCAACTCTGTTTGGTTGTTCTTTATATTTTCTAACTCTTTGTTAGAAACTTCTTGTAACTTCTCACTCTGTGCATCCATTCTTTTCTCAAGTTCTTGGATCATCTTTACAATCATTACTTTGAACTCTTTCTCAGGTAGATTGGCTCTCTCCACTTCACTTTGCTGTTCTTCTGGGGTTTTATCTTGTTCTTTCATCTGAAAATATTCCTCTGCTATCTCATTTTGTCTAAACTTCTATTTGTATTTTTATGTATGTGGAAGGTTAGTTATATTTCTCAGCCTTGGAGAAGTGGCCCTCTGTAGGGGATGTCTTATGTATCCCAGGAGTACACTCCCCTCTCATCTCCCAAGGACCAGGGACCAGCTGGTCCCAGGGTGGGTTCTGAACTGTGTTTGAAGACTCAGTTCCACAGGCTGCAGGACTGTAGTTTCCTTGTTTCTGGTGTCTGCCCCCTGGTGGGTGAGGCTGGTCTAGAGGGTTGTGCAGGCTTCCTGGTGGGAGGGGTCAGTACCTGCCCACTGGTGGGTGGAGCTGGGAGTCTTGGCCCTCCGGTGGGTAAGGCCATGTCAAGGGGCATTTCTAGAGGTCGCTGTGGGCTCAAGAAGTCTTTTGACAGCCTGTCTGCTGATGGGTGGGGCTGTATCCCCATCCAGTTTGTTGTTTGGCCTGAGGCGTCCCAGCACTGGAGCCTAGAGGCTGTTGGATGGGGCCAGGTCTTGGTGCTAATGACCCAAGCAAGATGTCAGCCTCCAGCAAGAGTTCATGCAGATGAACACTCCCCAATACTTTCACCAGCACGGTCTCTGTCCCCAGGATGAGCTGCCCTCGCCCCCCCCAGGAGAACCTCAAATACCAGCAGGTAGGTCATGCCCAGGCTCCTATGAAGTTACTGCCTTTGCTCTGAGACCTGGTGTGTGTGAGATTTTGTGTGCACCCTTTAAGTGAGGTCTCTGTTTCCCCCAGTCCTGTGGAGCTCCTGCAATTAAGTCCCACTGGCCTTCAAAGCCAGATGCTCTGGGGGCTCTTCTTGATGCCGGACCTGCAGGCTGGGAGCCTGATGTGTGGTTCAGAACTCTTACACCTGTGGAAAAACTTCTGTGATATTATTCTTCAGTTTGTGGGTCACCCACCCAGGGTGTATGGGATTTGATTATAATATGAGTGTGCCCCTCCTACTGTCTTGTTGTGGTTACTTCTTTATGTCTTTGGATGTAGAATATTTTTTGGTAGTTTCCAGTCTTTTTTTATCGATGGTTGTTCAGCAGTTAGTCGTGGTTTTGGTGTGCTTATGAGAAGAGGTGAGCTCAAGGTCCTTCTACTCTGCCATCTTGTCCAGGAATTGGAAGAGCTCCTAAAACATTATTTATTCTGCCTTAAGAATCCTCTACATACAGCAAGCCCAAATACAAGGCCAAGCAAGCCATCCAAATCCGTGATATGTGTAGACCAACAGTCTCCTATCACCAGGACTAGTGGTAGAAAACATAAAACTCGTGCCTGGGAATTAGAGCTAAAGGGCAGGGACCCACAAGTATTTCAGTAAAGTAAAGCCACCCCCCTGAGCACTCAGTAGAAACCCCCCTGACCCATCTACATGTATATACAACAAACCAGCACATGGAGAGAGAGATCTCTGAACTAATCTTTATGCTGTTATATAGTAGTTATGAGCCCCTTGCCCCTCCCTGTGCCCCATGCTGGCAGACAGGCAGGCCAGAGCAATGCAGAAGGACAAAAGCAGCTCTGTCCTCAATCCTGGAGAGTCTGTGGTCAGGAGGAACACGTGAAGGTAGTCACAGCTTTTCAGTTGTAATACAGGCTTAGGTAGGCCACAAGGTTCCGATGCTTTCTAAAGTCTTTGTCTGTGGGCAGCTGCAATGGAAGAATGCTGTCTAGGTTAATATTAGAATGAGAACCCTCTGCCTCTGGTCTTCTTGGCTGTGCAAAATAGAACTGTATGTTAAGAGCTGTTGTGGCCTAGCTGAATCCCAACCCATAGGATCCTAGCCTTAGTGAGTCTCTCAACATTGCTATGTACATCTACTCTTTGTCATCTTACTCTAGGATATATCATAGGAATTATTTTCTCTTGATAACTACCCAAGTATAGCTGGTAAATTTCTTGAAAACAAAGATTATGTGTTTAGTTCTTGAATGTTACCCAACGGCCCTATCACAATTATGTTAATTCATTTGGCATTTAATAAATACTTGTAGAATTAATCCAAAGTTCCACTAGGGGAAAAAAGGGCACTTCTGGAATTATGATAGCTGACACGGATTGAGTATTTATTATGTTACAAGTACGGTGCTAAACACTTTTCTACGACCTCTCAATCTTCACAACTTTATCAGATTGAGTCTATTATTACATCCATTTTAAAGACAAGCAAACCGAGACTTAGAAAAGTTAGAGGACACACAGCAAGCAAATATAAAAGTTAGAAGACACACAGCAAGCAAATATGCAATTCGTATTTGAACCCACTCAGTCTGTTCCTGGTATCCATGTTCTTGCCAGAATGATCTACAGTCGTTTGTAGATCAAGTATTGTAATGGAAAGAGCAGTGGCTTAGGAGTCACAGCTACAAGCTGCTTAATCCATCTGAGCTTCAGTTTACTCCTCAATCATAGAGGAGAATTATCTTGGACTACCATAAAAGATTGTTTGATGTTTAAGTAAGAAAATGTGACTTTTGTTCAGCACACACACCTTTAAAAGTCAAGTGAAATTGTGCAACTCTCCAAAAAGATCCCCATATCCATATACACACAAAATTGTGCAAGTAATTTCAGGGGAACAAGGACTTCTTGAAGCTTATTCACGGACTCCTGGTTAAGAATCACTGATACATGTGGAAGTATTAAATACAGGGCTCCACAGACGTCCAATCTTATTACCTCAGCTTTCAGGGTTCTTTTCTGTAGACATGGAATCTGGGCCCAGTCTGGAGATCCAAATTTCATTGGCCAGGTGACTTTTTTGGGTGCCTTTATCTCTGGGTTATATGTGTCAGGGCTAGACATAAAAATATAAAATATTATGTTGAATGAGTTAGTGACCATATACAAACCTCATCAGTACCACATGTGCACCTGAGCTAGTCCTCACTCCTTTGGAAAAGGCAACAGACTGATTAGATCTTAATGTCAGGCAAGCATAGTATTCCTTTGCCTGTTAATGTATTTCTAAATAGGTGTTAGTGTTCAAGATTTCTAGTCTTGACATGCAGTGAGGGTAAAAATCGACTCTAGTTTAAAATATTTCTGAACCTCAGTATTCTTAGCTGAGAGACCAAAAGATCCCAGAAATGGTGGAGGATAAAAGAGATCTTCCACAGTGATGCTTAAGTTCTGCCCATGATGTGAAATTTCCTGACAATGGGATATTTTGTATTGCCTTTGTTCATAACACTTTGTCTTTTGGTGTAGACTCTTTGCTGTGGAAATAACACATAGAGTGGTCATGGGAATCAAGATTTAACACTTCTACTCCTTTACTGAAACCTTGAGAGAGTTATACTCACTCTCTGATCCTTGGAATGCTCACCAGTAAAAGAAAGACCTTGACCCTGTGCCCTACAATTCCGCATACTCTGAATGGCTTCCTAAAGCACTTAGAACGCATTCCTTGGTCTACTAGGCCTATATACTCTAGCCCCTCCTCCTCCTCTGTTCTCATTTCCTCCTTGCCCACTACACTGTAGCCATACTAGCCTTTTTTCTTTTTTCCTCACACCAAATTCTTCCCAATTTACAGCCTTTGTACTTGCAGCTCCTCCTGCCTGGGAAGCTCTAGGCCTAGGTCTTCACAGGGCCATTTTAGTCTTATCACTGTGATTTCAGATCAGGTGTCATTTCCATAGAAAGACCTATCTTGACAGTCCTTGCCAAAATAGATTCCAGCCATCACTCCATATCATATCATCTTGTTTGGTTTTATTAAGCACATCACTAGGTCACTATACTTCCTGGTGTGCTCATGACAGCCCTAGCTTATGGCTACAGTCTTGGTATAATTATTAATAAGATCCTCTTTCACTCTCGGAAGTGACACACTAGCTAATGAATTATATGGTCGCTCTCCTTATTACCACTGATATTTTCTTGTTTATTTGCTTCTTACCTGTCTGGACTCTAGAGTGTAAGCTCCAAGAAATCAGGAACCTTGCATGGTGGGTTTAGTGCAAAATCTTCAGAGCCTACAAAACTGCTTGGCCATTTATAAATATTTATTGAATGAATCACTATCCTCTATAATAATTTTGTAATTCTAGAGATCTGGAAGACAAGAGGTTGAATCTTTAAAGATAGATAGTTCCTTATTTAGAGGGCATAGTTGGGATGTAACCCCTTTTTGTACTTCCTTTCCTATTGCTCTTTGTTGAAGTGCACCAGAAAGAGGGGCACTTACCCAGGATAACAAGTGTCCTTAGAGTATGTCCTAAATCGAGGCAACAAGGCATTAAATGGAGCAAAATTTTGTTTGTGTGTTTGCTCCTGAGGACCGACTGTTTGGTACATGCCTGGGTAAGGTGTCATATCCTATTTCCAAGAAAAAGATCAATAGTTTAGAGGGTAATATATATACATGTAAAGGCTTCTAAGTAGAAAAAACAACATCATCCTCTCCCTGTTCATGTTATCAGCTATGATTGAACCACCTCAAGCTATAGAAACAGACCTACAATAAGTAGAAAACCAAGATAATGGTATGGTTCAGCTACCTAAAGGTACCTAATGCTTAGGTTGTAGAAATAAACCTATGGTGGGTAGAGAGCCAAGGTAACTATTGCAGCTACTACCCCCACCATCCCACCATCCCACTCAGAGATTCTTTTAGAGCCAGTATCCCTCTCGAGCTTAATTGTCAAGAAAATGTCCGACAAGAGGTTAGGAGCCTATACTGAAGACTTGAAGTCCAATCACACAAAAGGGTGAAGAAGTTCGATTTTATTTTTAACTGACAAGATAATATGATGCATATAAACAAAGCTTCTGGTACTTTAACATCAGGTATCTCAGGACTGAAGCCCTGCCTTGGTACCATTCCTTCTGAGAATTATTTTCCACTCTCCCAGGACACTCACACATACACATTTGCAATGTTAATATCTAAGCTTTTCATATAGGCTTCTTAGTAGCTTTCTTCTAAATGACATTTTTTCTTGAATTTCAGGGCATGTCCTTTAGGTAACCTCTAGCTTTGCTCCCCAATGCAAATACATGCAGCATCATGGATCACACTAAACTCTAAGTACATTCAGCCATTTCTAACCTTGCTGATTGGCTTAAACCT